GACTAAATGGGTTCCCTAACAGGCCAACAAAGTCCTGAATCTTGGTCTTGGTCCAGGAGACCTCTAGGCCCATGGGCTTCGCCTCATTGCTAAAAGCCTCAAGAGCTGCCACCAGTGATTCCAGAGACTCGGATAGATTCGGCAAAGTCAAGGTCTGTGTGCGTGACACTACACTGACTTTGGATAGTAGCTCATTATCCAGTCCGTGCAAATGTAGAAAAGTGTTGGTGCAAAGACACAGCCTTGCTTCACCCCTGATTTAACAGGGAAGAAGTTCGACAGGCCCTCACCACACTTTACAGCTCTTCAAGTACCAGTATATAGGCTTGTTATTAAGCCAATAATCCATGTCAGAATTCCCCTAAATCTCAGGATCGCCCATAACGATTCTCCACACCGAGTCAAACGCCTTCTTGTGGTCAGTGTAAGCTGTGAGCAGCCACCACCGAACTCACGACTGCGTTCCACAATGACTCGAGGCACATTGATACGGTCTATTGTGGACTTACCGGAAGTGAATCCAGATTGCTCCAGTCTCTGGTGCCTTTCAGAAGAATGTGGGCGAAAATCTTGCCTGGTACAGTGTGCAATGTGACATCATGGTAGTTGCTACAGTCCCTTCGATCCCTTTTCCCCTTCTGGAGAGGGATGACCTGTCCCCTCAACAGGTCAAGGGGAACGGAACCAGAATGCCAGATGGCAGTCAAGAATTTGTGCAAGCCCCGTGCCTTAGATTCACCCTCAGCCTTTAGCAGTTCAGCAGGGATATCACAGGTAATGCATCCAAACCAACTGCTAGAGTCTATAAGGTACAGCTGCTCAAAATGCTTAGCCCAATATATATATATATATATATATATATATATATATATATATATATATATATATGTATATATATATATATAGTATATATAGTATAGATATGTATATATATGTAAATATATATATGTAAATATATATATGTATATATATATATATATATATATATATATATATATATATTTACATGTATATGTATATTTATAGTATATATAGTATAGATATGTATATATATGTAAATATATACACACATATGTATATGATATATCTATATATCCATATATATATATATATATATATATATATATATATATATATATATATACATACACACATATGTATATATAACAAACACACACACACACACACACACACACACACACACACACACACACACACACACACACACACACACACACACACACACACACACACACTTGCGCAGTGATGAGACTGATGACCATTCCTGCTGCTGTCTGGAGCTGGATCTTGAGGAGCCGTTCGTTCCCCTCTGTAGGTTGGAGCCAAGCAGTCTGCTCCTGATGACGAAGCCACTACCTTCTTCTCAGGTACCTTCGGACAGTTTGCCCTGCCAGAAGAAAGTAAGTCACTTTCTCCGATGCACCCAGATGGGGAGAGCCGAGTCTCCTGGACGGTGTCAACGTCCATCTTGAGCTTTCTACAGCTCACTGTTGATCGCAGCGGTCTTGCAGGCATCGCTCATTTCCTGTAGATTTCCTGGGAGACCAGGAGTTATGGTCCTGACATCCCAGGTGCCCAGTCTGTTTACTGGAGTCTTCCGTTTCTGATTTATTGTCCCTTTTGCCTGGTACAAAGTTCTTGAACCGCCTGTCGGGTTTCATTATTCCTGAGCATCTGGCGAGGCAGCCGACCATGGCGAGACAACACCTAACTGGCTGGGTCTGCGCAGCTTAGGTGGGCGGTTGCTGCCCAGTGAAAAGATTTCTTCCACCGTCGGAAACGAGCCCTGGCGCCTTGCTGGATTTTCATCTCCTGGGATCAAAGCCCGCGCTGTTATTTATATACATGTATGTATGTACATGTATATATATGAATACACACACACACACACACATACATATATACATATATACATATATACATATATATACACACACACACACACACATATATATATATATATATATATATATATATATATATATATATATATATATATACATACATATATACACATACATATATGCATATATGTACATGCATACATACATGTGTATATACTTATATACATATATACATATATACACATATGTACACATGCAAACAAACAACCCGCCACAGACGAACACAAAAAACCGACCCCCAACGTAGACAAACAAGCGAGGCCCTTCAGCCCGCGCAGTGACGCAAGGCAGCGCGTCGCCCTCGCTCCGCCCCAGCGTCCGAGGCGACAAAAAACCCGTCATTCCAGTTTCAGGATGTTTGGAGTCCGGGAACGTTGCTCCTTCGAGGTGCAGGTCAGTGAACTTGGCAGTGAAGACGTTGGAAGCGAAGAACGTTTGTGGACGAAGAACGTTTTGTGCATTTGGGTGTTTTTGACGGTTTGTTTGTTTATTTTTTTACATTACTTTTTTTGCGGGGGAAGGGGGGTCATATTAAAGCGTCGATTTGTCGCAAGTTTACAGTGAAGACGTTGGGCATGAAAAGCGTTTGTGGGAGGAAGCTGGAGGCGGAGCGAAAAAAAACGTATTTTGCATTTGAGTGTTTTTTTTTTTTTTTTTTTCGGGGGGGGGGGGGGCGTCATATTAAGGCGTTGTTTGACCCAACTTGACAGTGAAGTGTTGGCGTAAAAACGTTTGAAAGACGAAAATACAGTGAGTGAAAAACAGATAGATAGATAGATTAAGAAAGAGAGAAAGAGAGAGAGAGAGAGAGAGAGAGAGAGAGAGAAAGAGAGAGTGAGTGAGAGAAAGATATATATATATAGAGAGAGAGAGAAAGAGAAAGAGAAAGAGAAAGAGAAAGAGAAAGAGAAAGAGAAAGAGAAAGAGAAAGAGAAAGAGAAAGAGAAAGAGAAAGAGAAAGAGAAAGAGAAAGAGATTGAGAAGAGAAGAGAAGGAAAAGAGAGAGAGAGAGAGAGAAAGAGAAAGAGAAAGAGAAAGAGAAAGAGAGAGAGAGAGCAGTATGTCTTTATATAGATACATGAATAAAGGAATAACTGAATGAGTATATGGGTACACACACAGACACACATATATATATGTATGTAAATACTTATATACATATATATATATATATATATATATATATATATATATATATATATATATATACTTATATACATATGTATATATTTATGTATTTATAAATACCTCACACATACACACACACACATATATATATATATTCATTTATATATGGATATGTATATGTATATATGGGTGAATATGTGTGTGCGTGTTTATGTACCTGCGTACATGCAACATAATAGCGTAAAATCTATTTAAGAATAAAAGAACAAATGCAGTAAATTCCGTTTATTTTGATCCTTATTAACATTGCAATATCTTACATTTACATAATGCAGTGATCACACTGCACGGAACGAACATGAATACCACGCAATGCTGCAAAATAATTTTAAAGACATCTTTGTGGTGATAAAATTATGAATAGAAATAACAACAGAAACATAATTATTGGTGCAAATCAAATATAAAATGAAGCAAGGCATACACACCCACACACTTATGTATGTATGTATATAAAAGGAAGCAAATCATGTTTATGAGCATGCATATATAAAGAGACAGATTAACACTCACCCATGCTATATTTATGGTAAATTTCAGAGAGAGAGAAGTTACGGATTTTCATCGAGTTTTTTGATAAAAAAAACTATTTACAAATGTATATGCAAGTTAAGAAACAAACAGAAAGTGAGAAGACGAAATGAATAATTACAAAGGTAGAAGAATGAGGACTTACAGAGCGAAGTGACCATAAGCTGCCCTTTCACAAACTAAAATTCTGTCCGGAATAAAAATATAAAAATATAAAAGCTAATAACATATATATATATTATTGCACATAAAATTTCATAAAAAACTGTGTCAGAGCTCATTCTCATCCTCAGCCATACACGGGCCTTGGAGGTCTGTATTCCCGAGACTCAAAGGATTCGAAGGAGTCGGGGTACCGAGCCTCGCCCTCGTAGCTGACTTCGGCCACGTAGCCGGAGTCGCCGTCCACGAAGTACTTGACGGTCTGCAAGCGGCCATCAGGGAGCTGCACGTAGTAGGATCCCTGAGTGTGGTCGCCGTCACGGGCCTCCTGGTGGCCGAAGTTGTTTCCGGAATCAGCATGGTTGACAGCCCAGTCGAAGTTGTACGAAGCCTCCGACGACTCGTAGGACTCCTCTGACGAATCCTGAAACACACGCATTCAGTTACCTTTTGCTCATTAGATAAATTTGGGAAATTTCGCATTACTAATGCATACTAACACTCTGCATTGCTCCATGGTGCCCTCTACATCACACCTTCTAAACCTTGAGATGTGGTTAGGATATTACAGTAGTAACAATAAGTTACCTAATCATTCAACACCTGGCTCTTCAGCTCAAAGAAGCTATGTTTTCCCTTAAGGATTCCCAGCACAAAATAATAATAATGATAATAAAAAAGAAAAAAAATAAACAAACTTACCTGAGGGGGGCCATAGGCATAAGAATTCCTCTGGGGACTGGCTGCTGCCGAGACAGCCAACAAGACGACGAGGATCTGGTAAGGAAAAGGATGAAAGTTTTACGCCTTCTTACAGTTCTGATATTTTGCAGCTCGAACACTTGATTATGAATGCAAACATGGGAATAGCACAAATATTGTCAATATAGAGAGAATATCTGGTTCATATTTGACTATATAATTGAGAGAAAAGAAGAAGGAGAGAGAGAAAGAGAAAGAGAAAGAGAGAGAGAGAAAGAGAAAGAGAAAGAGAAAGAGAAAGAGAAAGAGAAAGAGAAAGAAAGAGAAAGAGAAAGAGAAAGAGAAAGAGAAAGAGAAAGAGAGAGAGAGAGAGATGAACATAATATCCTTATCAGAAGAAGAAGAAGAAGAAAACTGAGAAACCAAAATATAACAAGACTGAGAAAAACTTAAGTCCTTTACCATGGAGTTCATTGTGCCTTTAAGATCAGC